AATTTCACTTGGTTGTTCTTGCCATTTGAAATGTTTTGATAAATTTCAATGTGAAGAGATTAAAGAACACATACTTACAATGCGCGAACTTTCACGTGACGAAAAAGATATGTACCTAATGGGAAAATTGAGAAGTAAAGGCACTGGAATCGACGCAAGCGACAAAAAACGGCAAAGGTACCAGTACAACTATGACGATAGGGAGGTATGTAAAGAAGCTTTTCTTGTAATGCATGACATCGGCGAGAAGTATTCAAAAACTTTGATAAAACACATGAAACTTAATGGACCAGTGCCCAGGTCCCATGGAAACAAAGGTAGAAAACCTAAACACGCCCTGTCGTTTCCGGACATCAAAAGAGTAGCGAATTTCATCGTGCGCTACAGTGAGGAGTGCGGGTTGCCCCTCCCCGCTGTGCCCCATGGCAATGACGCTGTCCAAACACCCATTCTTTTGCCAGCTTCCTCCACAAAGGTTGAAATTCACTCAAGATACAGGTCGGTCTGTGAGGAGAGCAATGAAAGGTCTGTCATGTCTTTAAAATTTAGCTGATTAAAACTGGTCATTTGTTATATTAACTCTATAATATACAGTGAATATAAACTTAAAAAAAACTATACGTAGGTCGGTGGAACTGTCAGCATTTAAGAGCATCTGGCTGCAGTGTGTTCCTCACATCAAAATCGCCTCTACCAGATCTGATGTTTGTCCAAAATGTGAAACGCTTAGATGCCGCGTGATGGGTGCATTCTCAGAGGAGGAAAAATTAATCGCTCTGCATGATTATAAGCAACATATTGAAATTTCTCAAGGTACATAAAGGCTTAAACATAAAAGTTTACCTGGTTTTCATAAAATTTACTGAATATTTTTCACCAGCGGCGGGGGGGGGGGGGGGGGGTCTTAACAACTCAAGAAAGATAGTCTGTAAAATTCCATTGAGTGGGGTGAGTCCGGGCCTCAACCAATGGGAAACTTCACAAACAAACACAAGAAACGATAAAATTATCTACGTTTTTTATTTCGTGTTTTTTTTTTTTGGGGGGGGGGGGGGTAGTTCTTACATTCCTACATATTCGATTATACTTTACAAGAAATTAATTATTTTTTCAAGAATCCAAGGTTAATCATATAACTCGAAAATTTCGTGGCACTCAAGCCCCACCCCCACCCCATTAAGAATGCATCAAAACTAGAAAAACATATTTTCTTTTTGTTTTATTTACTGGTACATATCATCACAGAAGTCTGGATTCATATGCAGATCAAAACGATACACGAAATATATGTAATGATAAAAGGATTTTTGATATTTTTTTCAAAGAATAATTTTGTAATATTTTGAGTACTTCCACTGAAAATTATTTTGTACCACTACAGCTGAACATGCGGTTTACCGTCAATGTGTTGACCTCGCCAGAGAAGAACAAGTGGCATTCGGGCAACGTCCGTTTAGCTGTCCACCATGCTCAAATCAACTGTCTCAGGTTCATTATACCTTTGACTTTGCACAACAACTAACTCTCCCCCATCATTCTAGACAAGAGGGGCCTCTGTATTTTACATCGCCCAGAAAAGTACAGCTTTTTGGGGTATGCATGGAAGGGGCTGGAGAATAGTACAATAAATTGTACAATTGGTGTGGATGGTTCACGGTCCCACGGCCCAAACACTGTTATATACATGTTACATCATGCATTTCAGCAGTTTGGACTCGGGGAGATGGCATGTCACGTTCAATGCGATAACTGTGCAGGTCAAATTACATTTATTTCCAACAGTAAAATTAGAAAATGAATATTATATTTTATAATAGTATTTCATGCAATATTGAAAACATTAGTTCTCTTATGCATCAAGAATATAAATAAAATCAAATTTCAGGTCAGAACAAAAATCGTTATGTAATGGTTTACTTTTGCTGGCGCATTTTGGTCGGACTCCATAGAGAAATAACCGTTAGATTTCAGATACCTGGCCACACAAAATGTTTAGTGGATGCTGGATTTTCTTACATCAAAAAAACTCTATCGACGGTAAAAATTGAGTGTTATAATTTTGTCTGTCACTTTTATGTGCTTCTGACAGAAAAGTTAGAAAGAATAAATAGATATTTATATTTAGAACAGACAATGACTCTCTCTCCGATCTGATGCGGACAGTAGAAAAGTCTTCCAGAACCAATCGAGCCGTCGTGGTGGACCAAGCATTCATCTGGCAAGACTGGAAGTCTTTTCTAGCAGAGTTTAGTCCTCTGCCAGGTATTCGGAAGTACCATTACTTCCGTTTCAGTGCCCTTAATCCTGGTGTAGTATTCGTAAAAGAGAAATCAGCAGATAACGAAAGGGCAGTCACCTTACTTTGCTGTTCAACTACCACTGTATCTTGCAGGAGTCTTCCGCGGCCCTTGGCTAAAGGTTAATATTTGACTTAAGATCTGATTCTTTAAAAAAATAAATGCAATGAACTTATAACTTAGAACACTATACCTTTTTGACAGGTGGACTTTCTTCGGAAACACTCCAGTATCTCTACAAACACGTGAGGCCTTTTGTAAAGAGCCATGCCAGAGAGGCGAAATGTCCCACTCCCACTGAGGAATAAATGACTCAGACGATGACGGCCATAGCCTTTTTTATTTATTTATTTATTTATTCCTGTGTGTTATTATTGGTTGATTGTGAGTTATATATTTAAACGTACATGTATGTAAAATGAACAAGGAAATCTGAGTTTGCACTGGAATTTGATTCATCAATATGTTGTTGAACTTCTATGAAAATGTACAACTGTACAGACCTTACAGAATTGATGAAAAATGGTGCATGACCATTTTCTCTTAACATATGTAATAAAAATATATACATGTATAAAGTTTTCACGGTTCTAAAACAAATAAACAAATGTTTTAAACTACATTTACAACGAAAAGATGCAAAGGACACATAATAAGAATCGACACAATGTTTGACGTCGTTTGACGTTCCGTTGACGTTATGATTTTCTAAAATGGACGTTATCAATATTTTTATATATGCGTCACAAAAAATGTCATAAAAACGTTATTTTACGTGATACGAGCAAAAGTTTGGTATTTTCAAAAACAAAACATGATGGAGACTTCATTTCAAGAAAAAAATAAAAATGTGAAATTTTGACCTTAAGGGCCCTTTTCTCATGACGCCAGTCATTTATACAAGGGATTAATATTTAAAAAGCGATCCAAAGCAGAGAAAGTTTACATATTTCTGTGTTTGAACACTTTAAGCAAAATATGTGTATATCTATTGTTTGAGTAATTATACACAACCTCGTGTGCGTAAGGCACAGAAAAGTATGATTACTTCACATTGCGCTAAATAATTAACAATCCGGCCTTCACCATGTTCACCAGATATGTCTGGTCTTGTTATTTCATTCAAGAAGTAAGAGTCTGGTCATAAAATAAGTTTGACTTTGTAGCTAGATAAAATTACTTCAGGTAGGTAAGTAAACCTATATAGGTAATTCAAGCTACGTAGCTAAATCTAGTGATTGTACCAGACCTGTACGTTAAACAAACATGCACCATAGTCGTAAATATTCACCTGATGTATCTGAACGCAGCACTGTTAAGGCGTACTTCGAAGAAATCAACAGAATATAAACGTGCTTAAATACATACCTTATTAAAATGAATTTTAATTTTGTAAAGGTACTATATTATCTTATGACTTTAACATTCTCTGAAATAACATTGTATACCCCGCTCTGTACTGAATTTGGTTTGGTCACGTTATTTGATAGTCACGTGATAAATGCATGTATTGTGTACTGTATGTAGGTCACAAACAAATTTCAATATCGCAAGGGCATACCCTAGTTAAGATTAAAAATTAAAGTAATAGATTGTTTCTACATAACTTGTACTTTATGGAAAGTGCTGCTGCTTTAAATAGAAATATGTGTGACCTTTATCAAGTATTTTATGTATTTATTAAGTTATCCTATCGATTTCAGGAAAGCAGCAACACTTTTCAAGTTAAGGAATATGTCCATTATGTGTATTCAAAAAAAGGACAAGATCTATTAAGTGCATGCCCTTGCGATAAGGCGATTTAACGAGGCACCTCGGCGTGAAACATGCACATCCTGTAGACAAAACACGGTAGAATTAATTGAATACATTCTCTCGATATTTTTTAAATAATGGCACTAAACAAACATTTCAGATTTGTATTAATGGTCTACCTAAGGTTTTCAAATAATATTCTGTTTAATAATAAAATGCATTTTTCACTGTGAAAAAATGACTTGATACGCCTCTCACTGCACATAAAATGCGTCAAACTTTACTGTGATGACGTCATGTCGACAAGTGCATTGCAATCAGTGACTTGTTTATATCTTGCTGTGTGGGATTTAACTTGCGACAAAAATGAATGCAGTGGTAAGTTTTGATGTAGTTCATTACTCTTATGCAGTTTAGATTTGCAAATTAGTTCATTTTCTGATATTGTGAAGAATTGCTATATTTGTGTGATGTCACAGTAAACTTTTTCCGTATAAATTAGGCCCCGCCCCCTTTATGCAGCCTTAACAGAGCTGCGAAACGGACACTGCAAACAAAACATTTGTTCTGCAAAATTTTTACTTCTTCCATCATACCAATTAACATCTGCAGGGTCATGGCCTTTAATCAGTTAATGTCTAAATTCAAAACCACATCAGACACAGATACCGGCACCCACGTGGTGCTGCAGTGGACAAGGAGTAGTTTCACCAAAATTATGTTCATGGTCGGTTTCAGTCTTATTTTCATTTCGATTCTTATTAAGGTGCTTCAATTTCGAGGACCGTCAAGATTAAGTATGTATGATACCTTTGTCTTTTAAACGACGAAATTTTCTCGACTGCTTCGTCGGCCATCTTGTAGCAGAGACAATAGACCGTTTCACGATAACTGCGAGACTGCTCTTCGCGCATGCGTACAAACACTTCCGCAGGGCAACTTTCAGTTTATTGAATATTGCGCTTTCGGTTTAATCATAAGATTTGTCTCAGTATGGTACGCTCTTGCTGTGTTGTCAAATGTTCAAATCGTGATGATACGAAAGGAAAACAGAAAGGTCTACACTTTTTCAGGTAAGTCTTTCAAATATCTTTTTAAATTCTCTAAAATCCAGGTTGAATCGTGGTAGGCCCCTATTTCCTTGCGTATTAAAAACCAATATGAATACAGGTATACATTGTTTTATATGGTTTTCGTATTCATTATGCCACACAAAGAATTTTACAAGTGTGTCATTTCATAAGAGGAGATTAAATTATATTAAAAAAGTTAAAAGTTATTTAATGTAAAGCATCCACATACATCGTAACATGCATATAACTGTGTATTTAACTGTAAAGTATACCATCTCATTGTAGTGATGGTACCTACAAATGGACAAAGAATGTAATTTATAAGCAAAATTTCTTTTATTTTCATATATTTGTGTATATTTGTTTAGTTTATACATGTAAATGATACCAATATTGTGTGACAACAATATCTTGAGTTGAAACTGTTATGTTATATTTATTCCTCTGTTATTTAGCTAAGAGTGACAACTAGTTCTTAGCTGATCTTTATGTTTTTCTTTCAATATTCATGTATTTGTTATAGATTTCTCAAAGTCAGTCGAAAGCGTCGTGCTTGGATAAAGGCAATAAACAGAGATGATTTTGTGCCCAATGAACACACCTGTGTGTGCTCAGAGCATTTTGTGACTGGGTGGCACAGCGAGGACCCTGAAGATGTGGATTATGCTCCAACTATTTTTTCATACAAAATGAAGACAGTTAATCCAGAGAGAGAAGAGAGATTAGCCAGAAGAAATTTAAAAAAAATTAAGCCTTTGGACAAAACTAAAAAATGAGAAATAAATATGGCACATTCCAAACCCATTTCACCAACAAAAAAAAAAAAGATGAAATGGTTTACATTCATTGAATTTAACATTAATCATACAATAATTTTTGCTGTATTATTTCTAGGAATTTCATGTGTCAGTACAGAGAGAGCAGGAGCAAGAGAAGAAAAGTCTGGACTTTTCTTTATTTGTACATTCTTACTGCAAAGGTAAGAGGAAAATGTGTATGTTATTATTTGTATTAAGATCTGCGCCAAGACTTTCAGAGTGGGAATAGTTTCTTTCAAGATTTGATTTGGAAGTCCCAACCATTTATGAATATTTTATCCCATATATCTCAAATACACTGTTCTCTTGATGTGTTACTCAGTCCCATGTAGATAAGAATAACAAGGTTTGAATGTACTGTAAAGAATCAATTGAATTGAATTGTAAATTTTGGACAATCATCATGTTATAACCCAGACAACTGAGCTGACAATATTGAATAACTCACTAACACATTATTCAATTTGTTAGTACAACCATCTATGTTAAGACATGCTGAACATCCAAAATCTGCAATTAATTGCTTAAATGTTAAGAAAAAAATTCAGTCAGGACATATTATGTTTTCTAACTTTTGGACATGAATTTGTTGTTCAATTTTTATTTTAGATAAGGAAGAGGAGGAATGTTTTCATGTAGAAGATGTAATGGAAGATACAGATGATGTAGATACAGGAGTTACACTGAAGAGAGATATTGGTAAATAAATTAGATTAGCGGAGGAAAGATTAACACAGTATTGTGTTCATACATGTACACTGAACACCAATGTCAACAAACAAAATTAGATGACATACATATTTCCGTAACAAATCCAACTGTCATTCCAAGAATATCATTAATAATATCCATAATGATATGAGTTAAAAATTAGATATTTGCTGTATTTATGTAGTTTACAGGCTTTTAGTCATACAGGTATATTTTATGAAATAGCTATTAATGTACATTAAAATGTCAGCTTATTGTAATTCATGAATTGTAGGTTGCCAGTGTGATCCAGACCCCCTTATACTTGAAAATCAGAGACTTAAGTTGGAATTAAGGAGGATACGAGACACAAGGTGGTCTGTTGCCAAGATTAAAGATGATGACGCAATGACCAGGTTCTATACAGGACTCCCAAGCTTTGGGGTGTTTCTGTGGCTTTTCAAGTATGATTTAAGAGCTTCATACCTCTTATTCCATAGGCAGTTTCACAATAACTGCGGTACTTCTCTTTATCTATCAACAAAAACTTCGGTAAAAGTTATTAATTTGCCCTGCAAAAGAGTGGTACCGCAGTTATCGTGAAAGGGCTAATTGAAAACTTTTTTGAAAAATATTTAGTGGCTTATACTCACTAACTGTTTGTGTGTTGAAGGATGGAGGCTAAATGATTAGCAGATATTATATTTATTTCTTTGGGCTAACACTTAGCATACAGGTTATCTTGGTGAAATTCCAGTAATGCAAATTTAGTCAGGTGTATTTAATTTAAGCAAATATTTGATACAACTTGAAGAAAATCTTATATTTATAGATATGAATTTTTTGCAATATTAATTTCAACCATCTCCTTGGCCCTTGCCAGAATAATATGCTCCTACTTTATGATACATTTAGCTACCTGGCACCAAAGCTTGAGAAGATGGTCTACTGGAGAGGTAGTTCAGCAACTCCAGAGGAAAGGAGTAGAGCTAGGCGAGGCATGGCACTGGAGCCAATTAACCAATTTTTGGCAACATTGATGAGGCTTAAGGTATCTTATAGTTACCATAAATTAATACATATACTAGTTACTGTAGATTCCTTATATTTATACTTGAATATTGAATTCATGATTTCACTTCCTTAAATCACAAATTGCTAGAAATTGAATTCATGAATGGTCTGTTGATCAAGACCTATTACATGAATTTCAGCCATAGAAAAACAAAAGGGAATAATTTTAAATCATGAGAACTGCTTCTTGCAGAATTATGGGATAACAAATTCTTTGGTTACATTTAGGAATCTACAGTATTGCATAATAACATAACTGTTTAGTACAAAGTATTTTAAAATAAGCCACATTTTATGTTGGATTTCGTCGTATTTTTGAAAGTTTAATTCTGATCATTTTAAAGGTTGGATTATATGTACAAGACATGGCAGAGCGTTTTGGTGTTTCTGTAGGAGCCTTCTCTCAGTACTTTACCACCTGGATTTGCCTACTTCACAAGGAACTGAAGGATCTTAATCCCTTTCCTTCCAGAGATGTTGTTCAGAGAAATATGCCAACTTGCTTTAAGTCTTTTCAAAATTTAAGAGTCATACTTGATTGCACAGAGATATTCATTCAGAAATCTAACAGTTTGATAAACCAGAATCAATCTTTTTCTCATTACAAACACCATACAACTTTGAAATTTTTGATTGGTATAACTCCTTCTGGTGTTATCTCATTTGTTTCAGAGGGCTTTGGTGGAAAGATCTCGGATCGGCAGATGATTGAGTGTTCACCTCTGCTTGATCTGCTTGAGGAAGGGGATGTTGTCATGGCAGACAAGGGCTTCACTATTAGGGATTTATTAGAGAAAAAAGGCTGTAGTTTGAATATTCCGCCATTTCGGTCTTCTTCATGTCAATTTTCTACTGTAGATGTTTTTAACACGCAAGATATTGCTAAATTACGGATTCATGTCGAAAGAGCTATAGGACGTGTAAAAAATTTTCACATTTTTGATGGTGTACTTTCTCTTTCTCTAGTGCAACTGGCATCTCAGATATTTTCTGTCTGCTGCTGGCTTACCAACCTTGATGTCCCTATGGTTGAAAGTAATCAATGATGACAAATTTAGGTTAGTATGAATTTATCTGAAGTTATACATGTATCTTTCATTTCATTTTCACTTCCTTAATACTATTTGAGCAATGCATATATAAATCTGTATAAAAAAAAAATCATTTTTTAGTCATAAACAATCAATGTAATTTTACAGTGACATCATAACCATATTGACATATTTAAGATATGAATTTAATTTTTGAGAATTCATGAGGACATGAACTATGACGCTTCATGGGTGAAGCGTTGTAGTTCATGTACCTCATGAATTTTCAAAAATTAAATTCATATCTTATATTTACATTATTTTTCTGATGACTTCCCACATATTTTTGTCTTTCAATGATCATTTTTGAAAAAAAGAAGTTTGCACTATTTTTTTCACTTCAATCACATCACAAGGGAAATATTCTTACTCATCCCATGGTAGTTCATGAGAACATGACCTTTTTCTAATTTGCAAAGAATCTTAGGAAAAAATATTAGAAATTGTAAATATTTCTAGATAAACATTTATATGGGTTGGTATGTGATCAAATCTTCCATAACACCTTTTGAACTTTCTGGGACTAGACCAACCCACATTTATATTCCTATAAATGTTACCTAATTTCTAAACTGAAGAACATTTACATTTTAAGGTATGAAGATGAAACATGTGAAACAAAAAACTCTACAAGTTTAGGCATCATCAAAGAACAGAAATCTGAATCAAAATAAATTCTCTCTACAAAGCAGTTGCTCTGCCTGGCTGCTGTCCACACAACAAAGTCACCCCATGCACATCCCATAATGGCCATTTCCCCTTGTATCTGGGCATAATATTTATGATCTCTTTTCAGTCTGGTTCCCTCATCAGTGTCTTCCAAGAAAAAACCTCCTCTACCAACCAGTTCATGCACCTGTTCAATGTATGCCAATGTAAGGTTGCTTTACTTAAAGTATGACTAATAACAAAAGACAACTTAGGAGGTGAACATGTACCTCTTTGTCTGTAATAACTTCATTACTGATGGAGTATGGGCATTTTATTTCCAAGACCCCTCTTTCATTTCCCTCTGGCATGGACTCATCATATACCCATCCATGACTGGTTGCTCCCAGAAATGCATGTGATGGGTATATGGTGAGTCCAGACTCCTCCACTCTGAGATTGGTAATAGCATTCTGGATGGCCAAGTAGTCTTTCAGGGCATTTTTCTCATTCTCTATCCCCCACTTGACTGGCAAAGGTAGTGTCTGGTACCTTAAATATAAAATGTTATACATTATGATATATCAGAAGTTGTTGATGTGCTATGCTACTTGATTCAATGCAGACTAAACACGTAGGGATTATTATAGTTTTTAAGATTTTAAACCTATTCCTTTACCTATCTAAACTCGATCCATTTATTATCTGGTCGACTAGGCTGTGGGGAGTTTGTCCTGATTTTAGAACAGAACCAAATACGGAACTAGTTATTCGTCCTCTATGCAGCTCCTTCCACATCTCGCACGCTCTTTGGCCTCTTGTTCTATGCTCGATGAAAGCACTCAGGCTTTCATCAATAGAAACTGGAATGGGTACTGTAACAATAATGTTTTTTTTTTTTAGATAAAGATTATTTTCAATTTAGAGCATAAATTTACAGAAAACTTTTTTCCCTTACAGTTCTCCTCAGACAATACAAGACTTTTCATTGCTGTTTCCATTGGATCCTCTGTTGTTCTGACTTCAATTTCCCCAGATGGATTAGGTGTCTCTTCTGGAATGGTCCATAAGTGACTCATGCCTAGAATAAAAATTTTGATGAAAATTTTTATGTTTTGTAATTCTAAATATTTGTGTTATTCTTTTTTGTGGTTTTTGTGTGTATAAACTGTAATATACATGTACATTGCATTTTTTTTTTGTAAAGCAAAATTGCAATTCATGCTTTTTAAATTGTAATCAGCTCTTTTGTTTAACCTGCACATTGATATATAACACTTCTGTGTCCACTAGAGAGATCACATTTTCCTTTGGAAGTTAGTAGATTGATTTTATCAAGATTTTGAAAATAAATCTTAAACTGAACCAGTATCTATTCTTATCTAGTATGATTTATGTATTGCTTTTTCATGCACATAACTGAAAAGATTACTTCTTGTATACCGGTTTTGGGAAATATATTTTTTAACATCATCAATTGTTCCATGGAATGTTTGGAGTTAAATTCTCGCTCTTCAGGATGCCGAGGATCAAAGTCTAATTGTTTTCTCTCACGGTACTCCAGTTCCCCCTCTGTCGTCAGTTTTGGTCGCCCAAGATTCCATTCCCTCAAGGGCATGGGGTCCATCTTAAGTGGACGGGGGACATTCCACTGGCATGGTCTAGAGGTTGCGCTGTCTGACTTAAGTCGGTCAGATGCCAGTGGTGTAAATAAAATAGCAGTCCACCAATATGGCTGCATGTTTGGGCTAGACTATATCAAACAAAATACATGTATAATTTGTTTGTAATTTAAGAAGATGTTTATTTTTTTTATTTGTTTAACTTTCTATTTTTCATATTGATTTTTAAAATTGTGCCTACCCAATTGGACATTCACAATAAGCAAATTGAACCGTTGTCCTGTCCTCAACACAGAGAAAAACTTTGTAATTCACTTTTTTCATAGAGGCTAAGCAGTAAGCTCTGATGTAGTCAAGGGACTCATCAATCTATAAGTTTGAATTTATAAATGTTAAGCATCAGTGACGTGAAACTTTTAGATAGAAAGTTACTGTTTATTTAAATTAGGCTTTATTCTCTTCTTTAAAGTCTGTCTTCACTCACCCTTTTCATTATTAGAGTAATTAATATTTC